AGCAGTAGGTGCTATGCCCTCTTGCATGGCTGGTGCGGTGGACGATGTGCTGTGAGTTGGGTGCACGTCGATGAGCTATTCTCCGAGGAGTACTGCCGTATGGGCTGGGGGGGCCCAAGCGTGAACGCGGCAGGGGAGTGTCAACGGGAGTTGGGTTAGGCCCCGTCCACGCTTGGGCGGAGCCGACTTCGTGGTCGGGTGTAAGGGGAGCAGCCGACCTGCAGCAGTGGGCGAGCGGGTTGACAAGGAGGTCGACCTGCACGGAGGCCACTGCATGGGCGCCGACTTTAGGGTGGCGCCGACTTCAGGGAGGTTGACTTGGGAAGTCGACCTGCGGAGGATGTCAACTTGGTGACGTCAACTTCGGGTAGCCGACTTGGGGGTCGGCTGACAACTGCGCTGGTTGATATGGAGCTGGTCGACAAGGAGTGTTGGTCGACAAGGAGTGCTGGTCGACGCGGAGCTGGCCGACCAGGAGTGACGTCGACCTGGAGCTGGTCAACCAGAGGCGTGGTCGACCTGGTGAGGTCGACTTGGAGGTGGTCGTCGACTTGGGAGGTCGACGGGCACGTGCGGGAGTAGCTGGTCGACGTGGTTGCCTGGTCGACCACGTTACCTTGGTGACGAGGTTCTGCGGAGGAGTGCAACGGTCGCCCAGGCGAAGTTGGCGAGTCCGACCTCGGTGGTGGTATCCCGAGGTTGACATGGCGGATCAGGTGGAGTCGTCAGCACGGGTGCGCCTGCGAAGCGGGTGCGCTGCTGTTCTGCGTGAGCAACGCTGGCACGCCGTCAACCCGCGACGTTGGCACGCCGTCGACTTTGCACTGCTGGAGCACGGTCGACCAAGTCGTGCTGGAACGCGGTCGACCATGCCGCGCTGGCAGTCGACCTGCTTGCATGCTAGCTCTGATGTAGTCTTGCCATGTCAACTTCATTGTACCAATTGTTGTCAACTTTCTCTAGTGAAACTCTTGCCAACTTGCCCCGTGAACTAGCAAGCAGTGTGTGCACTAGGAAAACGACTAAGGACCAACGAACGCAGAGATCACACGAGCACCCATGCCTAGCCCGTAGTCTAGCTCCTGTTGTAGGAGTTATCTCCGCAGGCAGTGCATGGCATGGCATTCGTCAGGTGCACTACGTGGCGACAGGACGTCGCTCGGCACTCATGCGGGGCCCTTCCACGCCACGCTCAGCGGGTATTGTTCTCAGCTTTCCCATCCACTGTTTTTTTTGCTTTCTTTTGTCACCTGACTCATTTCCGTTAGATGCTCACCGTTTGACAGCGCCGAGCGTTGGTAAGTTGGTGCTGCTTACCGTCTTACGATTACTATTTCCTCGTGACGCCACGTTCTCCAGTTCATGCCTTAGCACGTTATTCGGCATTTCTAGTATCTAGAGTCCCCCAACATGGAGTGTCCACCGATCTATAGTCTACGTGACGATATTCTTCTTGCCATCCTTCGGCGCGCCTTTGAGCAGCCGTCTTTGGACGAATCGCCCACTAGTGTTTGCCCAGGTGTAACTTTCCATCAAGTGGTGTCGAACAAGTATTTCATAGAAACGCGGTTACCAAGCCCGCCTTTGTTCGCAGACGTAGCTCGAAATCTTCTCATCTCTTCGGTTTGCTGTCGTTGGCGACGTGTGGCGAAGCATCACGTGTCCACTCTGCTCATTAAAAAAGACTCCTTGGTGTGTCGCGGAGATCTCTCAGCCGCCGTCGCGTGCTTCTCGAATCTCACCCATCTGTTTCTCAGCAATAACAGCGTGGAATCCGTCGATGACACCTTTCTTGATCACCTCGCATCTTCCTGCCCGAAGCTGACGACTCTCCACGTGGGAAGGATCAATGTTATCCAGGGCGAGGAGGATGTCGATTCTGAGCAATACTATCGCAGGAAGGAGAACCATTTGATATCTACGGACGGCCTGAACAAATTCTTCTTGAAGCTCCCTCTGCTGGAGGATCTTTCCCTCTTCTGCCCCCATGAAGCGACAGAGCTGCCGGGTTCTTACTTTCATTTGAGGCGTCTCCACACCTTTGTTCTCAACAATGCATCTGCTTTGGAGAATCCCGGTTTCGCAAATCTCACTGCCCTTACCACCCTGTACATCGCCTTTCCCTATAACCATCTGCACCTGTCCAGCCTCCTTCACTTCCTGCGACTCGCCCACCTTTTCACTCTCGCCCCTCACCCGAACCATCAACCGCCGGGTGCTGCAAGCGTGACGCTGCCGTCGTCCTGTTTAAAAACGCTCAATCTCTTTGTTTCCTGTCCTCAGTGGGACGCCATTTTCCCATCCGCTTTGCCATTCACTGGGATGGAGGAGCTGACAATCACCAACTGCAGGGAGCTGGAGATGCTTCCAGACCACATAGGAAACTTGCTGCCATGCCTTCGGAAGCTGGCTGTTTGCGAGTGCGGCCGTTTCACTCACCTGCCTTAATTCCTCGCAGTCACTGTTTCGTCTAGTCCTGATTTTCGCCCTTACCCTCCTGATTTGCACCCTTGCTCTCCTGCTTTTCGCCCTTACTCTCCTGCTTTTCACCCTTGCTCTCCCGCTTTTAACCCTTGCACTCCTGCTTTTCACCCTTGCACTCCTGCTTTCCACCCTTGCACTCATGCTTTTAACCCTTGCATCTCTACCTCTACTCTAACCCTTCCATTTGTTGCTTTTCACCCTTGTACTTCTGCTTTTCCTTTTTGCACTCCTGTTTTCCACCCTTGCATTCCTGCCTTCTCCCTTTGCACTCCGGCTTTTTACCCTTGCACTCCTGCTTCCCACCCTTGCACTCCTTTTTTCACCCTTCCATTGCTGCTCTCTGCAGAATCAGCAGCACCAGCAAGCCTCTAACACACACTGTTTCGTGTGCTCCGTGGTCTTTTGCATTCGTGTACTGCCTGTTAATCCTGTCCAGGCCTCTGCCATGTGTTGCCAGGCCACCTACTGTGCTGCTTCCTGTAATGTGCCTTGGCTAAGTTCAGGGTGTCGAATGTGTATTGTGGGCCTATAAGATGCTTGAGCTTTGGCTACTCTTATGGAATGATCACACCCGGTGTTTCTGTATCTTAACTATTGAAAACTGAGAGCTCATTAACTCGCGTGCCTTTACTATTACAGAGATGAAACACCAAGGTCAGATGATGGTGCTATGCTGCGCTAGAGGTATATTAGGACAGGACTATTTTGAAATGAGGTGCAACAAAACCAAGTTCTTCACTAGGAAACCCAACAACCAGCAGCTGGCAGCCAAGGAGTGTGTTCATGCCGTAATTCCGGATTGCGACATGCATCCCTTGCAAATCCATGGGTAGAACAAAGAGAACGTGCCGATGGCCTTGGCAGGAAGCAGGACTGCTGTTGAACAGCAAGCAAGGCTATTTATGACTTGACTGAGAAGTTGGTGGGGTCAAACGAAGGGAACATGCTGGTAGATGCGGAATGCCACTGATTAGCATCGATGTGAGAGTTATTGCCCTCTGGCAAGTGGTGAGATATTGTTCAGTGATGGCAGCTTTCCGGTGTTGTGTTTGGCGTGGATGATGATGATGATAAGGGCCCAGAAGAGGCAGAGCACATCGCTGGAGAAACAGCCAAGAGCAATTAGGGAGACATGATGAGCGTGGTGATCTTGGTCTTGTGCCTGCCGAAAAGGGCCCGCAGAGAGGGAGAGGTGATGACAGGCAAGGCAGGCAAGGTAGGGAAAGTAGGGGGAAGGACAGGAGGATGAAAGCTGCCTGGTAAGTTTCCCAGTACAAAAAGAGCCAATTCACTGTCCTTAGGCCAACCCCACCAGCATCATCCGCCCCCACCCACCTGCACCATGTTCCTCCCACCATCCACCTCGCCCCATCCCCCTCTCCCTACCATCCATCTCCCCAAATGGTACACATAGGTGGTGGAGGAGAGAGGAACTTTAAGGGTGCCCCACGACAGAACTGGTTGGCCAATAATGTATTGCGCAATAAACTTAGGGGTAGCCAACAATACTGAGGGGTTTGAGGGATGATGGATGTTGTGGGCAACCAATGATTGGTTCCCCGTCAATGCGGCCTAAAGCGATTGGGGGTGTCCCGAACAAGAGTGTACACCCAGAAATGGGTTTTACACTTCAAGCTGCGGTTTACATACAAAGTGATGTTTTTTGGGGGTATTTTTAATGCCCACCCTTTCGTGCGGCCTGATTGGAGAATGAAGTCAGCATGTTTCAGAAACACCCCAGCAGACGAACTCAGACAAGAAAAGCGAATCCAGCCCAATTTTGTGCTGACGCGTGGTTTGGGGGAGGGTCTCCGGAAGGGCGGGAAACAACCTGGGGAGTTCGGTTTCGGGCGGAAAGAAACCCAACCTCCTCTCTCGACCCCCGTCAACCGTTAGCTTTGCATGAAAGGGGGCCGAGTCCAAAAACTAGTCACCATGTTTTCAAGTGATAAACTAAGGCCTCCCGCTCAAGTATGTAGACCGCAGCTTTAAATGAGATTGTGCGCACGACGTTACATAACTGAACCACAACACATGCGGTGATTGCACTGGGCCAAAAAAATAGTTTCACTGCCCTAACTCATCCCCCCACCCTCTTCCTCCCCTTTCTCCTTTCCGTGCCCTTTCCCTACAAAACTACCCTTCCCCCCTTCTCCCCCCAACCCCCACCTCGTCTCCACCCTTCTCCCCCATTCTCCCCCCTCTCCCCTCTTCTGCCCCCACCCACTTGTGCCTCTCGCACAATGGTTATGATTGTAAGTGACAATAAATGAATATCTATGATGAATATCTTTAGAATAAAGATTCCCCCTCCCTTATTGTCAGTACTCCTCTCATATTATCACATCATCTATCCTCATAGTCTCTTACTCTTTCGTGATTCCTCTTTCAAGTATCAAACAACCCAGCCCATTACCCCTCACTCACTCAAAAACATCTCCTCCTTCCTCTGCCCGCTCCTCCTCAAAAACCGCCACGGGGCACCCAGCAACGCAGCCTCGCCCAGCCTCGCCCAGCTAGGTGTGGGAGAAGTAGGTGCGGAGTCGGAGCAAAGCTGGTGAAAAGGGAGGAGAGGGGGGGCGAGTGGGGGGGAAAGGGGAGAGGGAGAATACGGTAAACCACACAGTGACACATGAGAGGGGTGTGGGAGACAGTGTGTCCAGGCAGTAGGGGCATGAGTCGGTCAGGCAGATGTCAGTGTAAGAGAAGCAGGTGTGGTGGTAAGAGGAGAGGGGTGGGGGGGAAAGACAAGGGAAGAGGGTAATAGGTGGTGAAGGGAAGGTGCGATGCAGCCTGGGCGAGGAGTGCACAGTGCCCATGTTGCCTGTCACGCCAATTTTGGCAACCATGGCAAGGAGTGTGCTCGATAGCCCACCGGTTCCCCTTGAATAGTGCACCAATCTACGCGCCAATCTAGGGGCAGCCTCAGCAGCCCGCAGGATGCTGTGAGCCGTGCGCTCGTGTTTCATTGGGGAAGATGTGGGTGGGTGTAGGAGAAGCAATGGTGGTGCTGGCGGGGGAAGGCGAGGGGGAAGGGGGAGAGAAAGAAGGAAATGGAGCAACGGCTTCTGAGCGGGATGTGGGAGGGAGACAATGCTGTAGGGGCGTAAACCTGTGGGCTGGAAGCTGGGTGTAGTAAAAACAGGTGCGAAGCTGGGGGGGAGGGAAGGGTGGGAAGGAGGGTAGCAGTGTGCTGATGAGAAGGATGTGGGAAACAGTGTCGTAGGGGCGTGAGTCTGTGAGTCTGTGGTCGAGAAGCAAATGAGCTGGGGGGGAAAGGGGGAGAAAAGGGAAAGAGGTTAAGGTGACGGGGAAAGGGGAGGAGAAGGGGTAGTAATTGGTTGATTTATGTGTGCTTGCTTGATAGGGGCAGATGTCAGAGGGTTAGTAGTCAGTGCTGGATACACATACGAATGTGAAGCTGGATGGACAGGATGGGGTGGGAAGGACTGGGGGCCAGACGGGAAGGGGGAACCAGGAATTGGGAGAAGAGAGGAGGTTGGTGAGGAGGATGGGGGAGTGAATGCCACCTTAACTACTACCATAGTTACAATGCAACCACATTCTCAAATCCGCTGCCCTACCACCAGCTCAGCTCCCTCCAGTGACTCTCACAACTGTCCCCATAGCGACTCATCAATTCCCGTGCACCATCCAGCTAGCTAACTGCCCGCTTCCCACTGTCGCCAACAAGTGACTCAAATGACTCCTACACGGCTTTACCCCGCTCCCCTCCCCCCTTCCCCACCCCCAATGCCCGTCTACCCATCATACCCTTACCAACACCGCTCATCCTTTGTGGCCTCCGCCAGCCCCAGCCCCCCCTTCACTGCCCCAAACCCCCTCTTTACCCCCCTTCACCCCCTCCTTCAACCCCTCCTTCAACCCCTCCTTCACTCCCCACTTCACTGCTCCCTCTAGTCAACCTCACACACGCCCCTAACCTACAGAGTCCCCTCACCCCGACCCCTCACCACTATCACACACATGCCCACCCCTTGCCGACTCTCACCTTCGTATGCAAGTCCATCCAAAGCTACACAATCAGTGGGAGTGCTGAAGTGGCACTTGTAAGCAGCCATGCAGAGCTAGAAATCTGGCCCTCACTTTCCCATGTTTGCTGGCGGCCTTAACTCTCTGGGCCTGTGGGGAGGCGGGAGCAGAGAAGGGCGGATTAGGACAGCATTAGCGGAAACGGTGGAAGGGGAGGGGGTGCGGAGCGAGGGATGGGGGGGGGGGGGGGGAGGAAGAAAGGAGGGGTAAGTGAGGAGTCGGGGTATGAGAGCAGTGGGGGTATGAGAAGAGTGGGAGATTTTGAGAGAGTGGGCTTCATGAGAGGACTGGAGGGTATGAGAGGCGAGGGGAGTATGGGAGGGATGGGGGTGTGAGAGGAGTGGGAGAGTTGGGGTATGAGAAAAGTGGGGGGAATGATAAGGGTGGGGGATAGGAGAGTGGTGGGGGGGCTATGACAGGTGTGGGGATTTGGAAAGAAGTGGGTGGTTATTTCAGAATGCATATTTCATAATGCACCTCTCATATTCGATCTCCAAAAAAAAATTCATCAGACCGAATACCTCTGCTGGTGAATACAGAATCTTCAGCACGAGTTTTAGAATGCTTCTCTCAGGTAAATTTATAAGGTTGTAGCTCTGGGATTTAAGACTAGGTACCTAAAATGCAGGATACTTCTCTGAATGCATGACTTACCAACCTAAAACACTCCCCAAAATTCTTCTCTTGACCATGTACTGAAACGATCGGATTGGAGCATGATCATGATCACCCCCACAACCACGACTCACTATCGTCGGCTAACGAGGGATAGGTGTCGTGGAGCCTGTTGGGGGTGCGAATCCCGAGGACCTTGGTCCTTGGGGCAAAGCTCTCTCTGGGGCAACCTTGGTCCAGACGTATGTCTGACCCAGGGTTCAGGTGAAGCCGAACAAACCTGCAAAAAAACAAACAAAAAAACAAACAAAAGGTGTATTGTCGTCCTGGTAGCTTTGAAAGACTCTGACTTGACAATTCAGCAATCAGTGTACATCTACGTGTACTGACATTTAATGGCTTGTTCGAAAGAAAGATCAGAAATCACACTATCAAGAAAACAAAACATGTCGGTGCAAAGAAAGGCCAGAGAACACACTACCAAGAGACAAAGAAGAAAGAAAGCCGAGGCAAGGCAAGCAAGGGCAGAGATCATACAAGTGCAAGGCATGTACAAAGAGACCATACTACAAGTCCCAGAACAGCCCCATCTAGTCATTCGTCTCCCCTGGCACCTGCTTCACTGGTTGGGTATCAGCTTCACTGCTGTGGCACCAGCTTCAAAGGCCCCTTTGCCATCCAGTATCTGCCATCAGAGACATTGCAAGCACAATCAGAGCTCACTGCACATCTGCTTAGCAATGATCAGCCTACGGAGAATAACCTAGGCCCAAAAAGCAGCCGCCAAGGTTCCCCAGCGCCTTTAACCGAGCCAAGTCCACCCACCTCAGTCAGCTTCTAGCGAGCCCAAGGCAGCCAGCCGAATCAGTGCTCCTCCATCAGCTGCACCAGATTCGCAGGAAGTGAGCGTATGGTGGTGTCATGCAGTATCAGGTGGTGCAGTTGGGCTAGGGACTCCGGGAGGTGCGGCAAGGCTTCGCAGCCAATCAGCTCCAGTTTACGCAGCCGAACCAAGCGGCTCAGGCCTTGAGGTAGAGACGCCAGCTGAGGCGCTTCAACCATAAGTGACGTCAGCTTCGTAAGCTCCACAATGGTTTCAGGCAGCTCCTCCGGTGTCCAAGAAAGAAGCTGCAGCTGCCGCAGCTGTGGCAACGCTGCTGCCATGTTTACTGGGACGCTGCGGATTCCCAGCGCCTCTATCAGCAAGCTGCGCAGGCGAGGGAGGAAAGCCAAAAAAAATTGGAGCTCCCGATCGTCGTTGTGTAAACGCATCTCCAACTGCTCCAGCTGCTCTAGCTTCTCCACCTCCTTCTGTAGCACGACTTGCTTCAGCTCTTCCAACATCTCCAGCTTCTCACTCGCTAAGCCGAGCAGGCAAGGGATGAAAGGCAAAAGAAGTGGGAGTTTTCGACCTTCTCCTTCGGAAAATAAGTCCAGCTGCTCCTCGCTCGACTGCTTCCAGCACACTGCAGCCGAGCATTTTACCCCAACGCGGTTCAGCTTCAGCACCCTCAGCTGCGACAGCTGCGAGATGTCCACCACATGGGAATCTCTCCAGGTGGGCCCCACGCAGAGGGTCTCAAGAGAGGATGGCAAACCATCAAAGGGACCCATCAGCTGCTTACACTCCGTCAGCACCAGCCTCTTGAGCCTCACGAGCGTCTCCATTCCAGAGAATATTGTACAGAGTACCGGGCAACCTCTGAACTCCAAGTTCTGAAGTGTCGAAAGCCTTGTCAGAGAGCTAGGAAGAGGTTCAATCTGAAGATTTATAAGCTTCAGCTCAAGAAGGTTGTTCAGCTCTCCCAATCTTTCCGAAAGCCACTGAAACCTTCGGCCAAAGGCATTCAGCTCAAGGCTTGTTAAGGAAGACATGTCGTAGAAGGAATCTGGAAGGTACTCATTCTCGCAGCCATGCAACCTGAGGGCCTCCAAACTTGCAGGGGGCCCAAGGTCCTCTGGCAGGGAAAGACGATGCCTTGAGAAGCAAAATGCCTTGAGAGCCATGAGGCGAGAAAAACCTTCTACCACCTCAATATCGCCGCAATCAGACATATAGAGTGCCTCGAGGGACGTGAGATGGGAGAAAGAAGGAGGGAGAGTGGTGTGAGGTAATTCGTCCAGCACCAGCAGTTTGAGGGCAGGCAAGTGACCAAAGTTGTAGGGGAAGGAGAAGTGACGACAGAGACAAACGATGAGCGTTTCCAAACATCTCAGAGAAGTTGAGCTTTCAGGCAGGGTATCCAAATGATGGCACTGGTGAACAGTCAGTTTGCAGAGGCATGGCAGTAAGTCTCCAATTTGGTCGGGAAGGGTCTCCAGCTCCCTGCAGTTGGTAATGAGCAACTCTTTCAGCCCCGTGAATGAAGATGCTGATGGGAAGATGTTGTCCCAATGGGGAGAGGACATCAGGAATTTGAGCGATTGTAAGCGAGAAGGCAGAGTCATGCTTGCAGCAACCCTCAGCAGATGTTTCTGGTTAGGGGCGAGGGTGGAGAGGTGGGCGAGTCGCGAGAGGTGAAGGAGGCTGGACAAGTGCGAAAGATTCCAGGGGAAGGCGATATACAGGGTGTTAAGGGCCGAGAGGTTTGTAAAACCGGGATTCTCCAAGGCGGATGCATAGTTGAGAACAAGGTTACGAAGATGCCTCAATTGAAAGAAGGAAGCCGGAAATTCTGTTGCTTGGTGGGGGCAGAAGAGGGAAAGATCCTTCAGCAAAGGGAGCTCCAAAAAGAAGGTATTCAAGCCGTCCGTGGATATCAAATGGTTCTCCGTCCTGCGATAGTAATGCTCAGAATTGACATCCTCCTCACTAACATCCTCCTCACTGGGCACTGCAAAGCTTCTTCTCACGTGGAGAGCCGTCATGTTCTTGCAGGAAGACGCGAGGTGAGCGAGAAAAGCGTCATCTACCGCTTCTGTGAGGATCTAGGATCGAGCTCATAAAAGAGAATTGTAATTGATTGATTCACCTGGGTACAACACGAGGTTATATATAGTCTCGACACAAGGCCAGTTACCCAGGTGTTACGCAAATGTTCTGAGGGTCGCAAAGCGTCCCGAACAGAACCTTCTCGAACTCAGTAGAAAGCAATTCGGTGGAAACCGAAAAGGCTTGAGTTCGGTACACGTAACCTGGTTCGGTGCTATAACTATAATAAAATATAGGAATGCACCTAACCTAGGAAATCAAGCATATCTATGCATGATAAAATATACCCAAGCTATATATAGCATAATAATTTCTATGCAAGCTAGCAAAGCCAGCATAAGCCGTCGTACTCTCAGACGTCCCCCTCTCAAAGCTGGGTGGTGTGAGAAGCACCCTGCTTGACAAGATAGTCCTTGAGAGTACGGCGTGCGTTGCCCATATCAGCTTCTGCAACCCAACTGTCCTCAGTGGGGTCATATCCCTTCCAGCGGATCAGGAACTCGAGGGTCTTGCCGCCGCGGCGCCGATGAGTGTGAACGCGCTCCACTTTGTACTCGGGTTCTGTTATAGTCACAATAGGCTTGAATGTGCCTAAAACGAAAGATAGAGAGCACAGACGGATTTCTGCACAGCGGCTTCAAACGTTGATAGCGTTCTGCTCACAGCTGCAAATGACCTGATTCAAATTGGATCTGGAGCGTCTTCACGTCGTCTACAATTAGCAATTTAGATTGCACGATTTGATAAAGAATTGACGACACAGCGTCGGTTTGAACGAACGGTACTATGGCAGCCACTATAGTCTTAGAACACAAGATAGGAAGAGTTACGAGTTGGGAATGACTCCCAGCTCCTACAAACCCCAAGAGCCGAGGTACAGTGATGTGGAACAGTGCCACACTGTCCCCAACCACGAAGGGTCTCGAAACTACCCTTCACTAGGGCCTACACCAAGTGAAATGTTACACTACACAAAGTAATGTAACTATCTTCAATATCTTGAGGTGTACCCTTTTGGCAAGCTTCGAAATCACTTGAGGCTTGACACCAAGGCTCGGGCTCTTCATCACAAACTCATCCTTGAGTTCTTGATGGGTCTGCTGCACACACCTGCGACACGCCGAACGTTCGACACAGGACAAAATAGAAACCGCGCACGACAAAATAGAAACCGCGCGCGAGACACAAACGACCGCGTAACACGCGTCTAGCGATAACTCGCTATTGACTCGACACACACACTCGACATCATGACTCAACATTCACACACAATTATAAGCATGAAATATATATTATCCCATGCCCTCATACCATTCCATACACACACACATTCACGCATACGGACAACAAGCCGAGTGCAAACCGTAGGGTTGCACCAACAAACTCCCCCTCGGATTGTTGGCCTTAGGATATGTTGCTCTCTCAGTTCAGAGCCATCCCAGCCAGCTTGCAATACTTCCAATGCTGCTGCTCCACCAGCCTCTTGGTCATCATGTCAGCCGGCTGCCCCGTGGTCTTCACGTAGCGCAACTCAACTTCACCCGCGGTTACCATGCTCCTCGTCCAATGCCACTTCACCCTCATGTGCTTCGTGAGTCCATGCAACACAGGGTTCTTAGCAAGAGCAATGGCACCCTGGCTGTCACAGTACAGTGGGGTAGGTCCTTGCTGCTCCTCCCCCAATTCAGCCAACAAACGCCGCTGCCACACAATCTCCCGTACGGCACGGAAGAGTGCCATGTACTCGGACTCCACCGAGCTCAAAGCTTGGTCAACCTGCTTCTTGCTCTCCCAAGCAGTTGGGCCTCCACCAACACAGCATATGAAGCCTCCCACACTTGTCATGTCCTCTGGTTCTGATGCATATGAAGCATCCGAGTAGGCGGTGAGGAACAAACGCCCGGGTTCAACACCATCCGCGCCCTTTTGGCGCCTTTGTGCCGCCGCCGAGTATTGCAGCCCAACGGTCGGTGTTTGGCCAAGATACTTGGCCACCCTCATTCCAGCTGCTACCTGCTCCTCATTAGGGCATTGCACAACCCTAGCCAGCTGCCCGGTAGCAAACGCGACGTCCGGTCGGGTGTTTACCGCCGCATACATGAGGCTGCCCACCAACGAGTGAAATCGGCGCCTCTCCTCTTCACCAACGCTCTCCTCCTCTGGTCCCTTCACACACTTGAACCCAGAGGGAAAGGGTGTAGCCACATGGCCTTCACTCTGCCCAAAGTTGGCAGCCAATGCCTCCAGGTACTTTCGTTGATGCACCCGCATGCACCGCTTCTCCACATCTCGTTCGATGTGGAGCCCAAGGTAGAAGCTCACGTCACCAAGGGCCTTGCACTTGAACTTGTCTTGAAGCTTCAGCATCACCTCCTTCACAAGGTCAGAAGAGGGTGAGAAAATGAGGATGTCATCCACATAAACCACCATGAAACTCCTCTGCTCCCCCTCGCCAAGCATGAACAAGGAGTGATCGGCCGTTGAGGGAGTGAAGCCAATCCCCTCCAACACTTCGCGCAGCTTCATGTACCATTGCCTAGGGGCCTGCTTCAGCCCATAGAGGGCCTTCTTCAGCTTCCACACTCTGCCACTACCATCATCAAACCCCTTTGGCTGCGCCATAAAAATCTCCTCCTCAAGGATGCCGTTAAGGAATGCCGTTACGATGTCCATTTGTTTTACTACCCATCCTTTGATGGCGGCTCCCGCGAATAGGGTTCGCAGCGTCGTCGGCTTCACCACAGGGGCAAACAGCTCCTTGAAGTCCACCTTATCCTTCTGCTGGTACCCCTTGGCTACAAGCCTAGACTTGTAGCACTCGATCTTGCCGTCGGCATCCGACTTGATTTTGAAGAGCCACTTGGACGTTATCGCCGTACGCCCCTCCGGTAGCTCCACCAATTCAAACGTGTCATTCTCCTCGATGCTCTTCAGCTCACTCTCCATGGCCTTCTTCCACTCCTCAGCATCACTACTCTCCAAAGCCTCCTTGAGAGTTGCTGGTTCTCCCGGCATCTCCACCGGAGAGAAGAACGCGAAGGCACACTCCTCGTAGTCACTCTCCTCGTCGTCTCCGACCATCATTGCCGCTCCGGCCAGGGCTGTCTTGCCCTGCTTTCCCGGCGCATCATAGGTCAGCCTATTAGGGGGTTGAACTCTCCTCTTCCCCCTTCCTTCCTCCTCAGCTGCAGGGACTTGAAGGCCTTGGCATTGCTGCGGTGTGGCTCGAATCCGTGGAGCACTCGTAGTACGGGAAGGGAGTGACGGTGCACGCTCGCTCACTTGCTGCACCTCCTCCTCTTCTTCCTCTGCATCATTGGCCTCCTCTCCCCCATTCACAAGGGAGGATTGCCTTGTGGTTGTGCTGCCGCTGCTCAGCTCCAAAGGCAGCTCCACATGCTCCAAACCGGAACTCTTCACCTCCCCAAACCGCACGCCTATCTTCGCCTCATTCTCCGCCTTCCAATCCTTGTACATGAAGTTCTCCATGAACTTGCAGTCCCTGCTCACCAAGAACTTCTTGGTGAATGGGTCCCAAAGAAGCCATCCCTTGCTGTTTTGAGCCATGCCCAAGTGCACGGCCCACACCGCCTTGGCACCAAGCTTGTTGTGCCGAAGATGCTTAGGCACGAGCGCCATGCACATGCACCCGAACACCCGAAGCATATCCACCTTTGGCTTCCTTCCTAGCCACTCCACATAGGGCACCCATTTGTCTGCTCCCACATGAGTCAAG